CCCCAAAACCCCAAAACCCCAAAACCCCAAAACCCCTATGAGCTTGGAGAGATTGAGTGAAGGCCTTTTAGATAAATATTCTTATAAATTTATTATTCTAATTCAAAATGACACCAATCGGAGTTGCGAAAGGAAGCTCGAATTACACCCATTTCAAGTCACGAAGTAAGGCACTTGACATTACCTTAGATAAACTTCCGGCGTTGCATTACTACAAGACATCCAAACCTCGCTCAAAGTTACCGCAGTCACAGCTACAGAAGTCGGTTCAGAACGATATTCGGTATGTGAATCTTCACTTGACTGAAGAAACTCAGGATTTTCTTCAGGCATCGAAATCTCCGAAGGCTCTTCAGAATCCTTTGAAGGGGCCTTCGAATCCCGTCAAACTTAAGTATTCCAAGTCCTTGAGCCAAATTCCTCAAATTAAGAAGACAAAAGTCCCAAAAGAGCCATTTACAAAGAATTTGAGGGATGTGGGAATAGGGATTAGAATGAGTGAGGAAGAGTCTAGAAGTGAAGATAATAGTATTTCAGAAGATGTTTCAAAGAGTTCGATTGAGGTTGTGAGTAAAGTGATGAGAAAAACAGGTAGAATTTATATTTAGAGGTTATAGAGCAAGCTAAATCACAAACAATTGTAGTAAAAATAGGTAAGATTTTGACTAAAGAAAATACTTCTGGCCAAAGGTTGCATTTCACCTACCAAGTCATAACAAATAGATCTCTAAAATATATTTTACAGCTTCTTTTATTATCCCTGTTCTCTTAATCTTTTAACTTATGAAATACCTAAGAGAGTTGTTACTAATTCTAGGATCTTCGCATATTTTATGCTAAAAATCTGAGCTTCCAACCCAATATTTCTTTAGCTCTGTCAGAATAAAATCGTCACAGTACAGGATCAGAAACTAATTAGAAAAGTGTTGACTCTAAATATTCGAAAGAATAAATGTGTATCTTCCCTCTTAAAAACTTAAACCTTCCTTCGCCTAGTCAATGATAGGCTTCTAAGAGAAAAATTATCTTTGCCTAACGATTACTCAGAATCCTAAAAACCCTGTCCCATCCCTCCAAACCTTTGCTTAGAGACTTTAAACTCAATATAGAAGACAACTGAGAAGGAACAAGCCATAACTCGAGCATTGTCGAACCCTCTGGAGAGGAAAAAGACAGTATCAACAAACAAGAAAGCTCTCAGAAGGAAACCATCACTTGCGAAATTGTCACTAAATAAACCCGAAAAGGTGACCCTGCCTCAGCTCAAAAAGCATCCAGCTATCACCCCAACAAACTTGACTGACCTTGAGAGTAACCTTGCTTTCATGATTTCATAGAGAGAGCTATCAAGGCTGCTAAAATCCAGAATGCTGTGTTCAAGGTCCTTGGCAACCCTAACAACAAGCTTGATGAATATTTCTCCAAAATAAAGCAAGCCAACCAAAAGTCTCAACAAGAATCTCTTAATGACCGATATCACAAGATTCTAAAAGGGATCGCTGACCAAAAAGAGCCGCTCACTAAGCCAAAGTTTAGTCTAAATGATCTTGACCTGCTCAGGTCTATCCAAGGTAAACAACTGGTAATTATCCATAGAGTTTGGACATGATTTCATGCCTGTAAAGCCCTGATAACCCTCTAGTTTCCCTCTGACCTACAGCTAGTACCTTTCCTATCGGATGTGAAACCCGTCTCTAAAGCTCCAAGCAAGGAGATAGATATGCCATCTGCTGATCTAGTCCAAGTCCTTGAGAACAAAATTGATCCGTTTAATGAGGAATTCAGTGAGATCAATAACTCTTTGAACAAAAAATGGCTGCCCTCTGCAGCCTCGGTTCCAAAACTAGACCTGCAGAAAATGACCTCTCCAAAAGCACTAGACCTGCCTTGTAGACAAGGTGATGACGATGTCCTTGAGAAATGGCTCATCGACCAAAAAGTTCACTTCAAGCCGTTTAGAGCTCATTACGGTCACGAAATAGAGAACATTAAGAAGTACAAGTAACAAGGAACCCAACCTTGACCTCAAGACAGGGTATTCTTGTGTTTTATATTCAGGATGAACAATTTGGTGAGGAACAGTGTTGTGGCATCAGCTGGGTCTTCACTACCCTCTATATCCCAAAAAGCCCAGAAGACAGAAGACATTGAGAAATTGCCGTTAAGTAGCCGTCTAAAAAGTATGCCACCACAGTACCCTATAGAGATCAGTTTTGCTCCTGAAATATCAACTCAGAGGTTGCCAAAATCTCCAATGTCACCATCGAGCCAGACTTCTTCCAAAATTGACGACTTGTTATCCTCGTTCATGTCGGAAGCGTCCTACGTAGGATCCCTCTCTAACCAAATAGGAAACTCGAATGAATTCGTTTCCCAAGAAGATGAGAAAAATTGCCCAGCTAAAATAACATAGTAGAGTACACGAACAAGAACAAATTCGAGGACCTCAAGACCCGTCCTCTGATCCAAGGTGAGATCACCTTGGGGGATCTCCTCAAGGAGACAGACAAAGCCTCCGAAGGTATGCTTGGTTGAGTTACTCTATAGTCACCCCAAGCAAGACCATCAAGGCTAGAGAAAGAACCACTGCAGAAGTTCTTTATGTATGCTTCAGGTCTTAACTTCTAGGGCTTCGGCAATTACTCGAAGAGTATCATTATTGAAGAAGACTCCAACTGCATTAGCGATTCCAAAATTGAAAGCAGAATTTTAGAGAAAAGTTCGTTCATGAAGTAGACATTTCAATTGTATACAACAATGTGAGAAAGGACAACACTGGATGTATTTCTTGTAGACTGTACCTTTTAGAGGGATCTATCGCTCTTTGGTCTGGCTCAGGAATCATCCGCTCTGTGTGCTTCCCACTCGGCTAAATAAAATTGTTCAAATTGAATTATTCAATGCCACCATTAAAAAGAGGGGTTTTGGGGTTTTGGGGTTTTGGGGTTTTGGGG